TCAGAAAATGAAATCTTGCCATTTGCAATGACGTGGATGGAGCTAGAGTATATTATGCTAAGTGAAACAAGTCAGAGAAAGACATACTATATGATCTCACTCGTATGTGGAATTTAAGAAAGAAAACAGATGAACATATGGGAAGGGGGGGAAAAGGAGAGGGAAACTAACCATGAGACTCTTAACGACAGAGAACAAACTGATGGTTGACGGAGGGTGGTTGACGGAGGGAGGTGGGTGGGGGATGGGATAGATGGGTGATGGGTATATAGGAGGGCACTTGTTGTGATGAGCACTGGGTGTTGTGTGTAAGTGATGAATCACTGAATTCTACTCCAGAAACCAATATTGTACCGTATGTTAACTAAGTAAACTTTAAATTAGAAAAATAAATAAAACTATCTTCTCATCACAAAATGAGAATGGTTCCAACCACCTCATAGGGTTATTGTGAAGAATAACTGAAAGAATACACATAAAGGTCTTAGTCCAAGGCATGGCACATAGTAAATGCTTGGTAAGTGTTAGCTAGCCATGTTGTGGTTGTTGCTACCTCTGGATACATTTTGCAGTTCCATTTGTCTGAAAATCTTTACCCCTTCAAATAAGATAATGAAGACACACCTGGGTGGCTCAGTTGGTTAAGCTCTTGATCTCAGCTCAAGTCTTGATCTCAGGGTTATGAATTCAAACCCCACATTGGGCTCCATGCTAGGTGTGGAGCCTACTTTAAAAAAGAAAAGATAATGAAGAAACCTGGTGCAGATTCATCTTAGAAGAGACAGAAACTTTCCAGTGGAGCACAGCTAGGGGTTTCACCACAAACCTAGCATCCTTTCCACTCCCAGTGTTAACTCAGTTAAAAAAACAAACAACCCCCCCCCCCCAAAAAACCTTGAATGAAAAAATAAATAGGAAAGTTCCCTCTGAGTGGGTGTTTATAGAAGGGATGAGGTGAAGTGTTCTCAAGGAGTATGTGTATCTTTATGGGAAGCAGCTACAGGATTGATCTCAAGTATATGATCCCGGGGTCATATACCTATTTTTTAGTGTTGCAGGCGGCAGACTCTTCTGTTCCCTCCCCAGTTTTCTCCTGGGTCACTGCCCATCTATGAATTCTCTAAACCAGAATCACTCAAAGTGGGGTCCCCAGGTGCTTGCATCAGAATCACAAATGCCGAATCCTGAGCCCAAGGCCAGAGCTTTGAACTGAAACTCCTGGGGAAATCTCACCCAAAAAACAAATTGTCCAAGTGCTTCTTACACTACTAAGTTTGATGACTTCTGCAGGAGCCTAGAAACTCGGAAGAAGGAGACCTTTTTCTTTTTTTAATCCCTAGCACTGGGAAGACCTGCCACCCTTTGTTGAATGTTGGAGAAATGACTGAATCTAAAGCACAAAGCTAAAGGATTTTTTTTTTTCTCCATCTGAGGACTCTTGGGATGGTTCGATTCAGATCTGATAATCAGGAGGTAAGCACTGGTAAGGCTGTAAATTTATTAAAATATTAAAATTCCTCCATAGGGGTTAGTAAATAACCACTGCTCTGGGCTCTGTGCTAGCCCACTGGCCCAGCTGCTCAGGCTTCTCCCTTGGACTGTCCTCTGATCCATCAACTAAAGGATTAACCCTTTGTCTAGCATGGGGTTTCATCTATTCTCACTAGCCAGTATGGGTGCCAGTCAGCCCCTTTATAGGTCCATCCAATGTGGTGCCTTACTCGTGGGCTTGTGCCTGTGCCCCTACCTGGAGAGGGAGGTGGGATTGGGAAGGAGGACCTTGGGTGGGTGGTACCCCATCCAGTTTACCTTGACTCTGTTATCAGGATGCCCCTCTCCACATTTCCATGAGGCCATAACGGATGGAGTCCTAGTGGGTGAGATGACATTCCTTGAGGTGATACTGGCACCCCAGCAGGCAAATGCCCCAGGTTATGGCCACCACCAGCTGAAGTACCTACCCCTAGAGATGCTCTTCCATGACTGCTTCTGGGAACTGCAGCCTCCACGGGACTTCAACTCTGAGGGATCCTGGAAGAGACTGGGTGAGCACGAGCCATGCAAGAATTTTAGTCTGCATACATGAGGGTTCTGTGGGCATGATTTGACAGATGAGAGCCTGTTTGGTACAGATGGTGCATGTAGGGGTTAGTGTGGGGGCTGGGAGAAGTACGGGGAAACAGTTTCTCTTTTCATTTATTTGGTCAAGTTTGCTAAAATCACTGAATGCCCTATCATCATGGCATTAGCCACATTGCTTTCATTAATAAAAATGAGGGCAGGTACTTACATAGCATTTGTCCTGTGCCAAGCACAATTCTTTATTTGTTTGAGTTACTATGATTATCACCATATTATATAGATGAAGAAATTGAGACCCAGAGGTTAGTTAAAACTCAAGTAGCAAAGCCATGATTCGAACTCCGGCAGTCTGACATTAGAGTCAAACTCATAAACACCACTTCTCTTCTTCAGTTACATTCAGAAAGTTTTTGTGTGTGACTTAGTTGGTAACAGATACACACACACACACACACACACACACACACCCTGTAAGACAATGGATGGAAACATTTTGAATGAAATTGGTGTCAGATCAGCAGATGCTGAGAGAGGAGTCCGCACCATGAACAATATTGCTGATATTAAGAGAAATTCTCTACCTACTGAGACTCCATATAGCCTAATGATTATCAAGATATTGGGGAAGTCATTGGAAAAGTTCCCCTGTGTATTCCTATGTCAGTCATGGCTCAGACAGGGCTATTGTTTACCTAGTGGCAGCATGTCAAACAAAAGTTCAGCAATCATTTTTAAAGATCAACAAATGATTTGGATAGTATTAGAAATTGATGAGCTACTTGCATTTAAGCTCATATATATACATACATATATATATATGTATGCTTCTGTTTAGAGAATACTGGGAATTAAGTGTTTTAAATTTATATGTTGATTAACTACTTACAGGGTTTTAAATATTTTATCACTTCATCTTTGCTTATTCAATTCTTCATTTTATTCCTTTGGTCCACACTTGTCAACTGGGAAAAAAGATTAGCTCTTTGACTGAGCTCTGATATGTTAAGCCGTAACCCTTTTCTGTCTCAAATTTGTTCCCTGTTTGGCTCACATTTCTTTGCTAGAGAAGGAGGTAGATTATGTGCTTTAGGTGGAAAAGGCTCTCCTTATTATTGAGTGGGAATGCAGGCAAGAAGACTGTTCCTCAGTAGGCTATTGCTTCCTTCTCTAAACCCAGCTAATTGAGCTGTCGTATTTAAAGTTTTATTGGTTAAGATTTCAAGTTAGGACTGGAGCCCTTCTTTTGCAGTTCCTTCAGGGCTACATGTGGAAAAGAACAAATGGAAAACTCAGTGATGAGCTCTGAATAAGGCTGTAAGAAGGCCCTATGGTCTCAAGGAACATTGACAGACAGGGAGTTGTTTAAACACTTAAAAACAGAAAGGAAATACAAAATTCTATTTAGTAGGTCAAAACCAGCTCAGAAGTAGTATGTGATGATCTGGGCAAAGCATTACAATTCCTAGCCAGCCCAGTCATGATTCTCTGGCAAACTGCACAGTCATGGTTATGATGCACTGGGATAAGAGGTGCTATATAAATGTTAGATATTACATAAATGTCAGGAATGATTATTGTTTGTTAATGGGGGCTAAACTGTTCCTAAGCAAAACTCTGACTCCATGCCAACACAGCGGTAGCAGAGATTCTAACCACCAAATAATCCATGAGAATGGAGTGCTCACCCCTGGTTCTAGAAAGGAGCCCAGTTGGGATCTGGGGTTGGAAAACAGGGGTTGGGGTGGTCCCAGTGCCACCACTTGCCCAAGTGACTTCAGGCCAGCTCCCTAATCTTCTGGAGTCTGCTCACCTGTAAAATGGGGATAATAATAACACCTCCCCTACTTCTCCTTCCTGTGCTCCGTGGTTCTGAGAATCAAGGGCATTCACATGGGTGCGAGTGCTTTGTGAAGGGTGAGACGCTGCAAGGATGACAGTGGTCATCTTGGATGGGCGGGAATTTAGCCTATGCCTTCCCTTTGAGTCCTGCTCACAAGGAGAAATCCGAATGGAAATTAAACCGGGGACGGGGATGGTGACTGGCGGAAGCTGAAAACCCCAGGCTCCTTCTCTCACAGAGCTGTCAGGAAGATACTGCAGACCAGGCTCCCGGATCCTGCATTTTGGCTCTGGCTCTGCCACTTGCCAGCCTGTGAGCTTGGGCGAGTCACAGAGGAGGCTCTGGAAGTGATCGCCAAGGGCCCTTCCGGCTCTGACGCTGAGTCTAAATCAGGCTCATCACTTGGCTCTAGCTGTGATTCACCTTTCGCGTCCTGGAGAAACTCCCCTCCAGCTTCTCAGACGCATGAAGCAGGGGTCTTGGAAAAGGTGGGGGCTGTGTATTCCATGTGAGAGTGCACAGTAAAGAAGTTATTCCCGTGGAGGTGAGGTGGGGTAGGGGATGGTGAAAAGGGGTATGAGTGAGTATTCTGGGAAGGCAAGATTCAGGGAACACTCTAATGAGGTCACGACTGTCGCAGGCGAATTGGAGCTGGACATCTGCTGGTGGGGGAAGGGGGGAGCGTCTTGCATTTCTGTTTGCAGTAAGTCTCATCCCGCACCCTTTAGCACCCCCTTAGCCCCCTACCCCATGTCTCCATCCCCACACCTTTCAAACGCTACCAGGCCTTGCTCGGAGGAGAGCCGGTGTCCGTACCTCCTCCGTGGTCCTGTCTGAACCGGGAGGATTGTTTCCAAGCTGACTCACACCACTAATGTCAGGGAGCCGTGTCACACGGCGCTGGGCTCTACAAGCTGTTGCTTGCGCGGTCGCCGCCGCGGCCGCCGCTCCCCGGCGGGTGCATCAGGGTCCGCTCTTGGGGCGGGGCCGGGGCGGGGCCGGGGCGGGGTCCGCCCCCTCCGCGCGGCGGCCCCGCCCCTCCTCTCCCTCCCTGGCGGACCGCAATGATTTAGAAGTTCAGGAATCCCACGTGACGTCACCGGGGGGGTGATGTAATGCACTCTAAATAGAATGTATTGTAATCTTTGCTCAGTCCAACGTGGTCCCTTCACCCGGGCTCGGCTCTTGCCTTCTCCACACTTGTTTGGTAAGTTCCTAAAAATACGGCTCGGCCACTTCTGGGGCCTTTGCATTTAGCTACTTTTGTTGCACTTGCCGCGGGAGCCATCTCGGGAGCGTACTTGGTTTGCAGGGGTTGGTTCTCGGCAGCAGCCGCGAGATTACTTGGTCCAGTGGGCAGGTCACAGGACAAGGAGTAGGGAAGATGCGATGCATTTTTTTGGAGGGTGATCTGTGTTTGTAAACACTTTGGCGGACCAGAGGGAAGTCCGGCCCCAAATGCTGGTGGACTGTGGAATTCTGCTGTGTCCTGAGGCCACTCCAGAGACCCCACGCCGTGTCCGTTCCGGAGCGCGTCTCGGTGGCCGCCGCGCCGTGCGACTGGAGGGATGCTAACGTGGAGCGAGCGCCGTGTCCTCCCCGGCGTGGTGCGTGTGTGGGAGCGCGCGTGTGTTTCCCTGATACGGGGAACAGTTATGAATCGGGGGTGTGTGTTTGCCTCCAGAGACCTGGCAAGGTGCGGAACCCTCCAGAAGTGCGGTCAAGCGGCGGCAGCGGCGGTGGCAGCGGAGACGGCGAGCCAGGAACCTCCCCCCGCGTCCCCAACTTCCCCGTGATGTGGCGGAACCCCCGGAGAAAGTTTGCAAACTTCCAGCGGGCGCGGCGAGGACGCCGGGTCACCTAGGGGCGGGCGGGCGGGCGCGCGCGGGGGGCTCGCTCCCTCCCGGTGCCGAGCCTGCCGCTGCCACCTCTCCCGCAGCGCTGCCCGCCGCAGCTGGTGGGCGCGCGCGCCCGGGGAGGGGACGTGGCCCTTGAAGGGCACTTGGCTTTCGCTCCAGGCGCAGAAAGCTCGAGAGTGGCGCGGCTCTGTTCGCTTTCACTCCTGCAGCCGTCTCCTGCCTCCGTCCGGTTCTCACTGGCATCATTACCTCTTCCCCGCCGCTGCCCCAAATGACAGCTCCCGCTTTTGCCGCGGCAGCGCGGTGGCAGTTCCCAGGACCCGGCGGCGGAGCCTTCCTCTCCGGCAGATTGACCACGCAACCGCTTAAACTTTTCACGAAGTTCGTAGAGGGGCAAGACGCGCGAAGGAACCAAAGACACGTTTTCTCCCGGCAACTGCATCCCACTTCTTCTTTGCCATAGAATTATTTCCGGGGGGAGGGAGTATCCGGTAGAGAAAGCCTCAGACCTCGCCCACCCCCTCCCCAACTTTGCCTGAACGGGTGCCGCCCCCACTTGATGCTTGTTCAAGGCCAGGAACTGGAGTGGATTGCTTGTATTTTGCGTTGTCAGAGTCCTCAGGGTGTGTTTGATTTTTATTTTTCCCTCCTTCTCTGACATGTGTCAAGGAATAAAGGCTGGATACAGGTCCATTACGTCATTCTGCAGGCCAGTAAGTGTTTGATTAACAGCTTCAGATACTCAAGAGTTCGGGGTTTAGAAATGCTGACAAAGCAACTCTGCTTTCCATCCCACCCCTAACATACTCGTACAATCACCCGATCCCTGGGCATCTTTATTGCCCTCTCCTCCCCGTACCCCTCTTCTCTACCCCCTCTCCCGCCCACACCGTTATCACTCTGGCCCCGCCTCCGCCTTTTATTGCTTTCCCTAGGGCGGTCACTGTCCCCAGGGTGTGCGTATGAGCTTCTGGTGTCTGAGCGGAGCATGGTACCTGATCAAGGCACACACAATCTGCCCTTTTCTATTATTTAAGAGAGGCACCAGCGAGCCCTCTACTCCAGGGCGAAAATGCTCAGTCCTGATAGAAAAGGCATCGCAGGACACGTTTAGAGTCCTTATGATAATACTGTGTCCCTGTGGTGACTTAGGAAAGCAACACACCCACTGCAAACAAAGTACTGAATTTTACCTAGCGCCTTCTCCAACCGTTTAGCGGAAGAGGGAAGAAGTGAGGATGCTGATTAAATCAAATATAGCCAAAAGAATCAAGACTCAACGTTTCATTTGCAAAGTGAGGGAATGTGAGTCGTTGAACCCAAACACATTACAATAAATTGGTGTATGTATTTCTTTCTCTTAATCTTAAGTTTCTATATTTAAAGAGAAAGTTGAATACTTAAGTCCTAGAATTGAGTCAGAATCTGCCTATCTGACAGTTGCAGTAAAAACACTGTGTGTGATGTGTTTAAGGGATAAAAGTAAGAAGAGCTCTTAGTGGGAGGAGGGTGTGTGTGTGCAGCAGAAATCAAATAAAAAATCTATTGACAGAGTTTTGGATTGAGTGGGGCAGAGGATTTGGGTGCTCTCTGATTTGAAGTTGGCGGAAGCTAAATTAAGGAACATTTATATTCTGAGTATGTGGGAATTTCGTGAAGAACACATGTTTTGTTATAATCAGATCCACTTTCTTCCAAGTGAGACAGCCATACTGTCGAGTAGGCATTTGTGAAACTTCTGTCTGGGGTCTAATTGACATCCTTCCCCAAGTTTGTGGCAGTATTTATTATTTATTCACATCTAGAGATGAAATAGTATAACCCCTGCAGAATGCATGTGCATCTAAAATGTTAAACTTCTTGTTTGTGATGCATAGACCTAAAGGAAAAAATGGCCCGGGTCACCAGCACTGGAGAGTGTGATTAATGATCAGTGATTTAGTGATCAGTGATTAGTGGTTTTATTCAAACTGTTACCTCTGACCAGAAGCACACATCAGAGGATTAACAGGCTCTTTAGATAAATGCTCATTAGTGGAAGGGGGAAAGCAAAGATAATAGGCATGCACCCAGGGACAACTTTCGAAGAAAATCATTCCCCGTCTTCAGAATAATAAGCTCTATTAACAGAAAGCCCTTTTAATTTAAAACTTGCTTTTATCTTGTAAATCAAAGTTAGATGTAAAAGTTTGTAGTGCCATTATAACCTAAATTTTCCCATATCCACTCGATGTGGATTATCTCAGTAGCGATATTTTTTTTTATTTAAATAAACAATTGGACCTTCAGAGCAACTGAACCCTGACAAGTTCTTAACTCCCAGGGTTTGAAGGTGTCCCCCCTTCTACAACGGAGAGTGCAACTTGCTAGCTAGATGGCGCACTGTTCTTTGGTGTTCTGTGCTGTTTTGGTGCAGGAGTCTCAACGAGCAAGTAGCTGCTTGCGAGGTGTTCTTCCACACTTCCAACAAAGTTGATTCTGTGTAGGGTTGGAGGCTAGACAGTTCTACAAGTTTTTAGTCACATTTTCCATGTCAGTTAAATCTGGGGAGTTCAAGGCTACTGGAAAAATTAGTCTCATTAGTAAAAGAAACTTAGTGAATGAGGGAGGAAAGGAGGTACCGGAGTCCAGGAGAGGTACCTCTGGGTTGCAGAAGTGATTGTAAATTACCAGACCTGTTCTTTTTTTTTTTTTAAACTAAGAGCTAGTTTCACAATCTTGTGGTCTGAAATTCTGAAGCAGATACTCAAAGATTTATTTTCTTCCTAATCTTGCTGGTGAAAAAGAAGTTACTAGAAAGAAAGGAAGAAAAAAACTTGATTTGGTGACTGCAGGAAGCAACACATTGCTGATTTTATTCTACAAATAATGGTAAGATAATGTTTCTTATGCTTATGAAGCAGAAAGGAACTTTGCAGTTGGTTAAATGAGGCTGATCTCATGTTTTCATAGATAGAATTCAGAAATGGAATTCTTATTGCATACCGAATTTTAATGTTGCCTTTGTCAGTTTCCTGGGACTTGGTAGCATTTTGTGTGGAAGGTGTATGTGTGTGTGTGTGTGTGTGTGTGTGTGTGTGTGTGTGTGAATAAGACCATTATTTCCTGGGTAAAATAATGTTCATGGGCGTGTGAACTGCAGGGGGGGAGCTATGAGGCATGTTAAATAATGTGTCAGGTAAGAATTCCTTTTTCCACAGGCCTTCATGAATCACTTTAATAAGTACTTAAGTTTTAATAAGGAAGGCATTTTTTAAAAAGAAAGCTAAAAATGAAAATAAAACAAACAAAAAAAATTCTCCACATCCAGACCTCTATATGTATTCCCCTGAAGTAGGATGCTGTTGATTGAATATCAGCTATTACTTTAGTTTTAAAACTTAAAAAGAAAACAATAATAGAACTCACTGGTGCCTCCCTATAAATGTCCTCATTTTCCTTTGCGTCGTTTTATACAGATCTGTTATTTTAAAATCCTGACTGATTTGTAACAACTTGTATTTTTCAACTTTACTGAGGGTAAACATGTTTGCTCAATTGATAATATCTTCAAGCTGTTTTTGAATGTAAATTGCTGATATCCATAAACTGCCTGTCAATAAGAAGTCAGTTGTGACCTTATATAGTTTCTACATAAGTAGATAGTTTATTAGAACATTCCCACAAAAACATGGACCCATCTCTGACATTGCAGCTTTGATTTGAATAGGAGGTTAATTGAATGGTTGTTTGCCAGAGAGACTTTTCCTGTATAGCTTTTCAATTACCGTAGGTTGAAGATTTTCATGCAACTATTTGTCAGTTTCCCACACCTGCGGATTCAAAACCAATCGATCGTGGACTTTCCATGGCTGTTGGTACCAATGTCAAGTTCCTGGTCTCCTGATTTCTTACTATAATTTGCCTTTTAGCAATGACGCATCACTTTCCATAGTATTTCCTTAGCCTTGGAGTTTGTTTCTTATTAAGCTGAAAATTGTTTTGTGGGAAGGTGATGTTTGCTGTATCCTCAAGACGTGAACTTTGTGTTTGTAGCTGGTTTTCTTCTGATTGTGTTGTTAGATTAAAATTGGGGATTTGAGTGGACTTATTATGTTTGTCATCTTTTTTTTTTTCCCTTCTTCTTCACTTCAAAGCAGTGCTGTTAGTCACAAAATTAATGTGATCATGGCTGGTGTTTCCCATCTATACGCTTCTTTTGCTTCTTACAAATTGGATTTCTACAGCAATTTAAGATCTTTTTTTAGAGGCAGCTTTCTTGGATGAAGATGGAGCAATGATCTCAGTCAATTCATTATCTTGTCCAGTTTCACTACCAGCTGTGTTATGGGAATCTACCAATGCTTTTTATAAATTAGTGTTTAAAAATATATATCTAGTACTATCTCTCTGAATGCTCTTTACGAAAATTATGCAACTGAGATAAGGTAATGAACTGGGGGGCAGTAGCCTCAAACATTTAAATGTGAGAAAGAATCACTTTCAGATATGCTAAACAGACTTAAAGAACCTTTTTGTATTGCTATTTGTAAACTAAATAAGCTATCTGTTTTGTGGCATTGCTTTAAATAGAAACTCTTACACTTTAAAAATGACATCATGTTTAATGTTTTCACTAAAAAGTTCTTATATTTTGTAATTAGGGAAAAATGGGCAATTAGTGATTTTGAGGATCCATTAGTATTCCATTGTTGGGAATCGCAAATCATGGATTTAACATAAGAGAACAAAGAATGAGAAGGCTTTTACAAATTTTCAGGTATTGATAACAGTATGCCAGAAACAAGAGTGAAATTTTTGAAGCTCATATTGAGACTCTGGATCTTTGAAAATCAAACTTACAGAGTTTGGATAAATTTTGGAATGTATAAGATGTTACGTTGGCATTTCTGTATTTCTTTCTGTCAAGCTCACTCTATTGCTCATTTATATTTTCTGAGAAATAGATCAGAATCAATTTAACACTTTAAAAACACATATTTTAGTTGCTTCCTTCTGTTTCCTCAAGGTTTACATTTTTAATCTCTACCCTAAAATTAACAAGGATTGAAAACTACCATATTGGCATTTGGCTTGAACTAATTTTGGAGAGGAAGAATTCCTTTTGGACCAGGGATTCTGATGGTGAGATAGAAAGGCTTGCTATAGCGTATGCAGAGCTGGAGCTGGGGAGGTCTTCTCATTGATAGACCAACCTTGTCACTTTGCAGAGGAGAACCCAAGGCCTGGTTGTGTCCCCTGGCTCACCAAGGCCCACAGCTAGAGTGCCAAATGGAGCCGAAAAGCCAGGTCCCGGCCTCCAGGTCAGGTTCTCTTTCCATGAGCCAGGCTGCCATAAATGGTCGTGAATGAAACATAACCCATGGCTTTGGATGCTTTGCTCTTTTCAAGCCTTTTGATCACTAACCTTTCAAAGACCATTTTTATCAGATCTTTTGAATGAATCCCCTGACCATAAAACTGTAGTTTCTATTCTGTATATTCTGATATATTCATAATGCTAATTTTTTTCATGTTGACCTCCTTATTGGAAAGCCATTCTTCTTATTCTTCACCATTATTATTAGACATGCCCTGTAAAACAGCACCCTCCAGATTTCATTTGAGACTAAAAACCAGGCAGAACTTAAAGATGTTCTAAAAAACCCCGTAGGATAAGGCAGTAACTTTTGTTACTTTTGTTTTCTTAATCACCTTTGAAGAAGGGATCTGAAAAATTATTTAAAGTTAAAGTAAATCATCTTTCTTTGTGTCGAATAGAGCAACAAGTGCTATTTTCATTCTGGCAGATGTACTTTTAAAGCCCAGAATCTGTCTCTGGTATATTATCTATCTAGGTCGGTGTATACGAGAGTGTTTGGAGGTGAATGTTACTACATCAGAAGTGAGTTGAGTCTAGAAGTATGGTCTTTGAGGTTTGGCTGGCAAAAGTTGACTAATCATAGCTAATAGAAATCATGCATGCACATAGGGGGCTCCAGAGCACCACACATTTGATTTAAGATGACATTTTGGTTATGCTGTATTTAGGATGGGGAACAAGAATATCTCAGTAGAAATCTTGAATGCATCTACTGTATTTTTTATTTGGCTTGATCCATAGGTTTCCTTTCCAGCTCTTTGCGTGAACACTTTATATCAGAATTCAGGTCTCTTTTATTCTCTTATTACACTGAGGAGCCCCTGTGTTGCATGATTCCTCAACTACAACACATTTCAGCCAATTTTATGCACATCTCTCCCTGCTGGCTTCCCAAGGGGGAAAACCACATGCAACAAAAAACATCTTTGTTTTTGTTTGAATTAGCTGATTATAAGAAGAAATACATTTTATCTCCATTTGCCAGATTTGGTAGGACCCTTTTATTTTTATCAAAACAAGATCTCCTTCTCTAAGTAAGCAATGATGCTCTTTGGCCTCTGAATGACCAGGTACTAATCCTTGCGCCGGAGGGTAGAAGGCATTGAGGATAAAATCTGTTTCCACCAGGGTGGCGAGGCGTGATGTGGCAGGCCATCATGAAGAGCTTGATCTGCCTTCCTGAAATGACAGCATTGTCCAGAAAAACACTGCCTTCTGGGAGGAAGGACAGCATTCTCAATTCTCGAACTTCTAAATTCTGAGCAGGGACTGTGCTGAAGATGGCTCTCAGGATGCGGAGAGTCTCTGAGGTTATTTACTAAACTACAACATGGTAAAACACAAGCTAGAACTTAAAAGTCTTAATGGTTTTCTTTATCCATTCTCTGCATTTCCCTTATACTGATGTTTTTCTAGATTTATTTTTAAGCATCCATTCTGGTTACTCTGCTTTCACGAGTAACCCTACAATAACAAATCACAAGTGTGTGCTTAACAAGAGAGGGGACATTTTTCCATAAGGGAAAATAGATTTTAATATCCAATCGTAGAAGAAATAATTAGCAAGACAAAAGAGAGAAAAGTTTGAAATCCAACTGATGGCATCCCCAAGCTCTGCCGTAGCTCTGCAAAACCATGTGGTTCATGGCCGTGGGAAAAGACTAAGACTGGAAGAGGGAATCCCCAAAGCGCTGCCTTCAACTCATTATGCTTCTTTGCCTCAGTTTCTTTGTGTGTGGTAAAAGAGTGTTCGTCTTGACCAGCACTGTCCGACAGTGGGAGCCATAAATGCAAGCCCCCTATGTAATTATAAATGTTCTAGTAGCCACACTATAAGGAGGTAAAAAGAAACAGTTAATTTTAATAACATATGTTATTTAACCCAGTGTATTTGCAATAGTATCATTTCAACATATAATCAATATAAAAATGTTGAGGAGGTACTTTGTGATTTTTTTTTGTTGGTGGTCCTAAATCTTTGAAAGCTGGTGTGTAGTTTACAGTTAACCTGAGTTACAGGTCTCGGTTCAGGCCAGTCACATTTCAAGTGCTCTGTAGCCACATGTCGGCCAAGTGACAGTGGTGTCAGGCAATGCAAATCTACACTCTGTTTCAGTGGTTCTTAATCCTGACAGCCCAGTGGAACCACCTGTGGAGTTTGTAAAAAGTACGGATACCTCCTCCCCACACCCAATTCCGATTTGATTGGTTTGGGGTGGGGACCTGGGTCTTTGTATTTATTTTTTTTATTTATTTTTATTTTTTATTTTTATTTTTTGGTCTTTGTATTTTTAAAAGCTCCAAAAGTGTCTATAAAATATAGCCAGGTTTGAGAACTGCATTTCTAACTGATCTCTATGGTATCTTCTGCTCTAGCAGTCTTCTTTTTTTTTTTTTTTTAAAGATTTTATTTATTTACTTGACAGAGAGAGAGCGAGCACAAGTAGGCAGAGCAGCAGGCAGAGGGAGAGGGAGAAGCAGACTTCCCGCTGAGCAGGGAGCCCGATGC